TAAAGTTCCCACGATCCACCATCACCAAAACACCCGAATGGTTCAGCCTCTCACCAGAAATTCTGACCGAAACACACCGGTCAATATACGCAGCTCAAATGAGGAATGAATATTTGCAGATAATGAAACTGGTAATCCTCACCAAGATAGATTTCAATCTTCCTCTCAAAAGAACCTTACAAGCCCTGAAAAAAAACTCCTATCCAGTATTAAGATGAGGAATAGAAGAAAAAGACCACTCCTAGTGTAGTAATTATATAATAAAATCACCCAGTATATTACAAGTTACTCGTACATTGTATTAGATGGTTACCAACATTTGAACTAAGCTTCCAACCAGGAAAATGGCCACCGTCCCTCCAAAATGTGATGATGTCACACACCAAAGCTCCACCCGACGCGTTTTGTCATCCAATTGTCGTCATCAGGGACGTGGCTAATCAGACGTGCCGACGTCTATATATAGTGCATGTGACCCTCCCACTAATCAAGATGCATTCCAGGAGGCAGAAGGAGCTTCCGGAAACCAGCAAACAGGAAGCAGACCGCAATAAAGAGCCCACTCGTATCATTATATACCCAAGGAACCATAAGAACCACAGGAAGGGAAAAAACGGACCACACTAAGGGGCCCACCCATAATATTACTGCCAAAATATGATATACAATGCTTTAACAAACATAATGTCCTTCAGTTGGGGTTCACATCTATTTTAAAGTGTATGCATCGTCACATGTTTTCTCTATTTATGGATGGAGTAGGAAAGAATCATAAGCCCTGTCAGTTTTTTTTTCATTGTGTAAAGCATAAAAATGCAACGGTAGTGCCAAAACAAAGTGTGAAAGCATTAAATAGCTTTAACAGTTCATAATGCGAACATATAAAACATCCAATGCATTTTGGCGGCCAAACCACCCCCTTACGAAATTCAGCAGGGATTAGGATTATGGCTTAAATTGAACTTCGTTTTTGGGAAACAGTGAAAAAATGGATCAGAATCAAGAGCAACTGCATAAGAATAATTATCTTTATGCAGACACTGTTAATTCATCTCCTGGATATGTCTTTGTTGCAGTTTGTCTTCCTGCTAGGTAGATTCACCATCTCCATTTGTCTTCCTGATGACCATTGCCATTGAGATAGAAAGTGATGAGAAATTCAACATTTTACAGTTGCTACAAGAACAAGAGGTGAAGGGGGAAATCTTCCAATAGGGACACCTGGTCCGGTGACAACTGTTTAAGAGGTGAATTATCCTCACTTTTCTATTGTGTCTTCATTGCAGAAAATATAGGGAAAGCTTTCCATGGGATGCAGACAGTAAAAAATTATCTGACAAGCATTTTAACTCTTCCATTCTATATTAAAAAATAAAAATATATGGCTATAGACTTTACATTTAAACGTTGCACTTATTAAAGTGGTAATAATAAAAAAACAACAAAAAAAAAAAAATCTGACAAGATTTATATGACAGAATAGTTCGAAATTAGAAGGAAGATCATGAGAAGATGGAAGCACCAATAACAGCCGAGAGCGGACATTGCAGTGCTGGAGGGGATCATTTAGCAGGTAGGTCTGCCATAATGTGCTAATATGGTGTACATACTAGTACATTATGGTATAAAGCTCCTGGGGCCATTTTTAATTTTTTTATGCTGAGGTTTCATTCTGCTTTAAATCTCAATCACACTCCAGCACCCAATCAGTATCAGGAAACATGGATGACTATCCTGATTGCAGTCAATATGTCTGCTGCCTATTGCCCTCATTATCATCAGGTAGTCACCATTGATCTCCAATTCTAACCGTGAGGCAGTCGCCAATGCAATGTAATAAAGACAACCCCCCTAGGCATAGAATATGATGGCGACATCACACCAAGGAACATAATAACAAGACTAAAAAACAGAAATCCTATCAAAAGACTTGTTTACAAAGATCTGAGTTCAGTGAACTGTATCTAAATCATTATTGAATCCTGAAATATCTAAATTTACAAATTTTCTAACTGTGAGCTGGTGTATTCCCTAGGTGCTGCATACTTGCATACATAATTGCACGAGGCAGCGAACAAAACAGTGGTTTTCGCTAATGGGAAGCTGCTAATCACAATAGGTGCAAATGACAGGAAAATCCCATCTTGCTCTAAGTTTCTGGATCTTGAAAATTGTTAGTGGCCATGTGACCACCTTTAAGTAAACCTAATATGACTGTTATCCCATGGTTCACACTAGCTCTGCTGCTCCGGGCTCATTGCAGGTGCAGGAATCGCACCTATTCCTGCACCCGCAAACCACCTGTAGCCACTTCGCAAATGTAACTTGACATATATGGGGATATCATTCATTCTGAGTGGCACCCCCCCACGAATCTCATCCAACAGTGCGACCATGGTAAAAAATTCCATGAGGTTTGCGAGCAGATGCATTTTGTGTGAAACGCGGGCACAGCAGCCAATTCAAATGAATGGGCTTCCATTTCCATGCAAACGCAGGCCAATCGACCCGCACTAGTGTGAACCGGGCCTTAGTCCCTGGTCACACTGGGTGTGACTTGGCATGAGATTTGCATGTCACATGACTTGCAAATCGCATGGCAAGTCACACCCTATTGTCCACAATTACAGCGGTCATATCGGTGTGGTTCTGACTTGGTCAGAGCCACACCGATTTCTAAAGTAGTACATGCACTACTTTTGGTGTGATTTGCATAGACATCTGTGTCAGATGTCTTGCAAATCGCACCTCAAATTGGCATGTCAGCCAACTCTGAAATCATGCAACTTCCCTGCAAGTCACACAATTTCAAAGTTGGTTAGTCTGTTCCTGCCAGCCATATGCAGCAGCAGGATGGGTGGACCCTAAGATAAGAAGATACATTTCTCCACAGTGAATCAATGTGACAAACTCCTGCGCTCCTACCTAAAAACTAATACCTACCAACAAAGGTAAAGCTGCTACATACAGTCATATACCCATAGACAAAAAATATAAATGAAACACAAATGATGCAGCGCTACTACCATAAAAATTCTTCACACATGATCAGTTCTTAGTTTATGCGTTTATTGGGATGCATGTGTGTTTTGTGTTATATGGTGGGAACTGATTTTTAGTTCCGGTGGGAGGTTTTTTAGCACATTGAGTCCTGTTGTGACTTACTTGTTTGATTTGGAGCACTATTGGATCCCATTGGATTACTTGGGGCACCATTTATGTTATTTAGTCCTTTTAGGACCTTGTATTGACACTTGTCACACGTGGTTATTTATGGGTTTTTTGGCACTATTTAATATTGTGTGTTTATGTTATTTGTGTCACTAATTTTGCACTGTTTCACTTATTCATTTAAGTATGAAGAATTTTTATGGTAGTAGCACTGCATCATTTGTGTTTCATTTCTCCACAGTACCTACAGCTACAGAGGTGAGTGAGGGCTTGTTCAATGACTTTCCTGCTTGTTCAGAAAATGAATACAGAATGTCCATTGGCTAGGCACAGGTTCACTTCAAAGGCAAGAGTCAGGAACACGAAGAGAGAAAACAGCGCAGAGGAACGGATAATACAAAAATGTATTTGCAGCACATACACAGCCCGGCATAATTGGATATTAGAAAAAAATGCAGTACAATGCACCTTTCCTGGTGTGTTTCTGAATTGAATTATGGTGGCATGTGTGTGCCACAAATATATTTTTGCTTTGGGAACAACAGCTCTCCATGCTGCCCTGCTCTGGTTTCCACCCTCCTCCTATCCCTTAAGGCATATTTACACTGTTGTGTTGTAGCCCACGCATTCCAAGGCAATAAATGTGTTGTGCTTCGCTATGATAAAGATAGTGTCTGCTGCCTTCTCGGTACTGCACTGTGTTTTAAAAAAGTACATGTCCATTTTTTTCTGTGTTTTAGTGCATCAGGAGCCCAACAGAAGTCAATAACGTTGCTTCAAAATAAACATGCATTTTGATGCACTGGCAAAAGGTTTTAATAAGTCTTGGTCAATGGATGTTAACAATATCCACATTCTAAATTGAAACAGCACATCAACAAGTATCAAAACCATTGTCAGCTCACAAAGGAAATGCACATTGATGTGTGATAATGCACCTGCCCAATGCTACAAAAAAAAAAAAAATCCTCTGCGCACACACATACTGTAGATCTAAATGGGCCCTTAAACTCGCCATCCCTTAAAACGTGACAGTTGAGGGATGATAACAAATATCGCCTAATGCAAATAACCTAAGCCTGGGGCCACATTGGCAGTCCTAATTGCTTGTTAGCAAGAGATATAACCCTTGTTGACAACAGTTTACGTCAGTTTACATCAATAAACTGCAAATACAGCAAATGTCAGCAAGGAGTTAAATCTCTTGCTTGCAAGTGATAATAATTTCACACTTAGCCTCGGGCTACTAACAGACATTGGACAGCGTTCTGAGGAGACCGGGATTGCGAGTCGTAGACAATCGCCACCGGAAAAATGAATTTGCAGAGCTGGATTTTTTTTGTGCTGTTTTCCATTGATCTTTGTCCTTGACTATTTTTCCATCCATTAGGATACATACAATTGTACACAACATCCACCCAAATTTCTTGTATCTGCATGTGTGTTTTGTGACCAGTCTTTTTGGAAGATAGGATTGTTATTGTTATGGGACTATTTCCAGGTCTGATGAGCATTGTTTAATCATGTCTAAGGCTAGCCTAAAGCTGGCCATACACTGTTCAAATTTTTGTTCAGTGGGTGGCCCTGTTGGCCACCTCCAGCATGACATCTCTTGATTAAAAAATAGAATGAGCCAGGCAGAAAATGTTTGGCCAAACAGCACCTGCATCAGATCCAATTGACAGTTGCCAGGTCTGGTTGTCAAAATACTATAGTCTCAGAAGGAGATTTGTATTCAGCCTGCAGGTCTAAAATCTGTATAGCACTGAAAATAAAAAACAACAAAGAGAGGGTGTATTACCTTTATAAACTACTTATTAAGCCTAAAAAAATTACAATTACAGTATTTTTCGCTCCATAAGACGCACCTGACCATAAGACATACCTCGGTTTTAGAGGAGGAAAAAAAGAAAAAGAATATTCTGAACCAATGGACTGCAGACATAGTACAGGAAATTACCAGAGACTGTGGACATAGTACAGGAGATGGACCAGAGACTACGGACCATACGGACATAGTACAGGAGATGACCAGGGACTGTGGGCATACTACAAGAGATGACCAGAGACAGCGGACATAGTACAGGAGATGACCAGAGACTGCAGACATAGTACAGGAGATGACCAGAGACTGCGGACATACTACAGGAGATGACCAAAGACCTGAGACATAGTACAGAAGATGAGCTGAGACTGCAGACACAGTACAGGAGATGACCAAAGACCTGAGACATAGTACAGGAGATAAGCAGAGACTGCGGACACAGTACAGGAGATGAGCAGAGACTACGGACACAGTACACGAGATGTGCAGAGACTGCGGACATAGTACAGGAGATGAGCAGAGACTGCGGACACAGTACAGGAGATGAGCAGAGACTGCGGACACAGTACAGGAGATGACCAGAGACTGCTGACACAGTACAGGAGATGACCAGAGACTGCGGACACAGTACAGGAGATGACCAGAGACTGCGGACATAGTACAGGGGATGACCAGAGACTGCGGACATACTACAAGAGATGACCAGAGACTGCGGACATAGTACAGGAGATGACCAGAGACTGCGGACACAGTACAGGAGATGACCAGAGACTGCGGACACAGTACAGGAGATGACCAGAGACTGCGGGCACAGTACAGGAGATGACCAGAGACTGCAGACATAGTACAGGAGATGACCAGAGACTGCGGACACAGTACAGGAGATCACCAGAGACTGCGGACACAGTACAGGAGATGACCAGAGACTACGGACATAGTACAGGAGATGACCAGAGACTGCGGACACAGTACAGGAGATGACCAGAGACTGCGGACACAGTACAGGGATGACCAGAGACTGCAGACATAGTACAGGGGATGACCAGAGACTGCAGACATAGTACAGGGGATGACCAGAGACTGCGGACATACTACAAGAGATGACCGGAGACTGCGGACATAGTACAGGAGATCACCAGAGACTGCGGACATAGTACAGGAGATGACCAGAGACTGCAGACATAGTACAGGAGAAGACCAAACACTGCGGACCTTTGGGGAGCAGAGGGGGGGAGCGGGTACCCGAATTTGACAGGTACTCGCTCCTACATCTTCAGAGTTGTCCTCCCTCCCCGTCTTCTGGGACATGTGACAGGTCCCAGAAGACTGCTGGACTATTTACAAAGCGCAGCGCTTCTCATGCATGCACAGTGGGCACCCGGCTGTGAAGCCACAAGCTGTCACAGCCAGGTGTCCACACTAAAGATGCCGGCGCCGGTGAGGACAGCACTGGACCGAAGAACAGGTAGGACCAAGGAGCAGAGAAGAGCCGCTGCTGTGTTAGAATACCAGGCCGGCAGCTCCATATTCGCTCCATAAGATACACAGTCATTTTTCCCCATTTTTTGGGGGGAAAAAGTGCAGCTTATGGAGTGAAAAATATGGTTTTATTATACATGTGTGATTCGTTTTGAGTTTTGGGAGAAAAATTAATTTTCAGAGATTCGGATGTACAGTATATAGATCTTAGAAGGGACACAGAAACAAATGGTGACGAATTTGAAAAAAGTTATAATGTAATTAACTAATGCATTTGTTTCATTCAGGTGACGTGACATGATCTGATAGTAGTTTGGGCCCATGGGGAAATAAATTCAATTTTTGAATTTGTTCAATAAATCAGATTTTGGATAACGAATGGATACAAATGTAATTAATTCGGATGCATATGACACCAGGTGATATTTTCCAATCAGCTCATACCATTTCTCTTGGTCGGTTGGACTAGCATCAAATTCATCCAATTCAATTATATACTATATATATAGCAGTCTTCCTGAAACACTGCATATTCACCCAGACTAATGAATATACGAAATGAATGCTGAAGATACAAAACGAATCCCAAAAAGAAATCGGTTCAACATAACAAGGATTATGAAACTAAATTCTTAATTAGCGAATGCATCTGAAACAAAACAAAAATGTCCAGAGTGCACATCTAATTAATAACTATCAAATGAATGATCAAGTCCATCAATATTTTCAAAATGAAAATCACAGATGCCAAATCTGCTGCACTTGCTCCTCAATATGGGAAGAAGCAATCAAAGTCCACTATGACTGATGCGTTTCAAGAGATACTTCCTCTTCATCAGAGGGCTGAAATGCATCAGATTTAGTGGACCTGGATAGCTTCTTCCCATGTTGAAGAGCAAGCAGAGCAGATCTGGTGTCTGTGATTTTGAAAATATTGATGGGCTTGATACTTCATTTGTGTGTGAGTATAATAATTGCTTTTATGGAATAATAAATATGGTTTATAAATGTAATGTGCTAGGCTTCTTTGTTACTTTTTCAGTGCTCTGTATGATTGGGGCATCTGCAGTCAATAACAGAAATCAACTGGTATTTAGGCACCGCATTTGAGCGCAGGAGGTTATTCTTATTGTTAGTCCAAAATCTATATGTGGCTAGTTCAAAAGCGGAACTAATTTCCCCAGTATACTTACCTCCACTTTCCATCGATGCTGTGGTTACATTAGTCACTGTCCGCTGTCACCTTCTCCCTGGAGCCAGATTTTCAGCATCTTGGGAGGGAGGGATGATGTTATCCTGTACATGCTTAATAATGGCATGCAATGCCAAGCTGCAGTTTCTAAAGTGAGCAAAATCCTCTCTTGTATTAACAGAGGTATAGACTCCAGAGAGAGATATCATATTACCCCTGTACTAATCATTAGTAAGACCTCATCTGGAATATGCAGTTCAGTTTTGGACACCAATTCACAAAAAGAACATTGGGGAACTGGAGAAAGTACTGAGAAGGGCAACCAAACTGATAAGTGGCATGGAGGAGATCAGCTATGAGGAAAGATTAGAGGAACTGAATTTATTCTCTCTTGAGAAGAGGAGATTAACGGGGGATATGATCAACATGTATAATACATCAGTGGTTCATATAGTAAACTCGGTATAGAGCTATTCACCCTGAGGTCATCACAGAGGACAAGGGGGCACTCTTTATGTCTGGAGGAAAAAAAATGTAATCTCCAAACACAGAAAGGTCTGGGAGGACTGCAAGTCACAGCAATCCTCCTACATGTGGAAGGCTCCAGAACACAGGTTTGTAGCAGCAAGTGAGAACAGATGAAAGAGAAGAGAGCTGAAGTAGGGAAGAGCAGAGTCCCTCAGGGCTGGTGGTATGCTGGAGGATCAGGTACATAGGAGCTGTCAGCCTGTCCTTCTTCCCATGTGGCTGGAACCCCCCTGGGCATTGCTCCCTCCTGATTTTATATGCACAGAAAGGGGGAAGAGCCCAGCAGAGACTCTGGGAATACAGGTAACCCTTCCCTCAGCAGCTGCTAACTAGCATTTTAACCTTCTTGCGTATTTTTTGGGGTTTTTTTAGTGACATGTCCAAATTTCACAGGTGCATGCTGGGTAATATGCATTCAGAAAACAGACTGGAAACATGGCAAAAGTGCATATGCATTTTTACTGCATTTTTTCATTGAAGCAGTGTAAAAGAAGCCTGAGGCTTAGTTCACATATATGCATTTTGCATTTGATGCTTTCTCCAGTGCTTTTTACAGTTTGTTTTGTGGTTTTCTATATGTATTTTTACTGTGTTTTGCATTTTGTCCACCTCTCTTATTTTTTTTGTTAAAGTGGATTTTTTTTTGTTGGGCAGAATAAAAATGCAAAATGCAGCAAAAACAAACTACCATGCATTTCAGCACTTTCTCCATTGAACTCTTTTGTAGCAAAAACGCTCCTTTTTGCTTTTAAAAAAAGTCCCTGACCCTGTCCAAAAATGCAGCAGCTCAAAAAAGCATAGATGTGAACATGTTCCATAAGAAACCATAAGAACCGTTTCTGCAAAAAGCACTAAAAAAATGCATTAGTGTGAACGGAGCCTAAAACACAAGTGATCAGTGTGAAGTGTTTCATAAGATGTACAAGGATGCATTTTTCTTCCACTTTTTTAAACGCAAAAACTGACCGGTGTGAAAGGGTCCTTAGTGGGAATTGCTGTGTTAATAATAATATACACTCACTGGCCACTTTATTAGGTACACCTATTTAATTGCTTGGTAACACAAATTGTTAATCAGCCAATCACATAGCAGCAACTCAATGCATTTAGGCATCTAGACGTGGTGAAGTTTGCTGAAGTTCAAACTGAGCATCAGAATGGGAGGGAAGGGGATTTAAGGGACTTTGAACATGGCATGGTTGTTGGTGCAAAATGGGCTGGTCTGAGTATTTCAAAAACCGCTGATCTACTGGGATTTTTCACGCACAACCATCTCTAGGGTTTACAGAGAATGGTCTGAAAAAGAGAAAATATCCAGTGAGGGGCAGTTCTGTGGATGAAAATGCCTTGTTGATGTCAGAGGTCAGAGAAGAATGAGCAGACTGGTTTGCGATGATAGAAATGCAACAGTAACTTGTGTCAATATGGACCAAAATCTCTGAGGAATGTTTCCAACGCCTTATCGAATCTATGCCATGAAGAATTAAGGCTCTGAAGGCAAAAGGGGGAACCAACCTGATACTAGCAAGGTGTAACTAATAACATGGCCGATGAGTGTAGGTACAGTTGCAAGAAAAAGTATGTGAACCCCTTGGGATTACGTGGAGTTTTGCATGAATTGGGCATAAAATGTGTGCTCTGAACGTCATCTAAGTCACAACAATAGAAGAACACAGTCTGCTGAACATAATACTACACAAACATTAGATGTTGCCATGGTTTAATTGCACATAACATGTAAACCTTCACAGTGCAGGGAGGAAAAAGTATGTGAACCTTTGGACTTAATAACTGGTTGACCCTCCTTTGGCAGCAATAACCTCAACCAAACATTTCCTGTAGTTGCAGATCAGACCTGCACAACGATCTGGAGTCATTTTGGACCACTCCTCTTCACAAAACTGTTTCAGTGTAGCAATATTCTTGGGATGTCTGGTGTGAATCGCTCTCTTAAGGTCATGCCACAGCATTTAAATCGGGTTGAGGTCAGGACTCTGACTGGGCCACTCCAGAAGGCGTATTCTGTGCTGTTGCAGCCATTGTTTTGTTGAATTACTTGTATGCTTTGGGGCATTGTCCTGTTGCATCACCCATCCTCTGCGGAGCTTCAGTTGGCGGACAGATGGTCGTACGTTTTCTTGCAAAATGTCTTGATAAACTCTGGAATTCATTTTCCCATCAATGACAACAATCCGTCCAGGCCCTGAGGCAGCAAAGCAGCCCCAAACCATGATGCTCCCTCCGCCATGTTTTACAGTGGGGATGAGGTTTTGATGTTGGTGTGCTGTGCCTTTTTTTCTCCACACATAGTGTTGTGTGTTCTTCCCAAACAACTCAATCTTGTTTCATCTGTCCACAGTATATTTTGCCAGTAGTGCTGTGGAACATCCAGGTGCTCTTTTGTAAACTTCAAACGTGCTGCAAATTCGTGCTTCCTCCGCAATATTTTTCTTTTGTGTCAACAAAAATGTTAGCACCAGAGATTTCAGGTCTTTAGCTGACACTCTGGGATTCTTCTTTACCTCATGCAGCATGGCTGTGCTCTTGCAGTCATTTTTACCGGACGACCACGCCTAGGGAGAGTAGCACAGTGAAACTTTCAAGGTCTGTTTGGGACACATGAACATAAGGCTTTTGGAGATAAACCCTTTCCAGCTTCATGCAAGTCAACAATTCTTGATCGTAGGTCTTCTGAGAGCTCTTTTCTGCGAGGCATGGTTCACATCAGACAGTGCTTCTTGAAACCAGTAAACCCAAAACAGGTGTGTGTTTTTTTAAGGGCAGGACAGCTGTCAGCAACACATCCAATATCATCACACTGATTGGAGTCAAGGTTGGCTCACTCCTGGCTCCAATTAGCTCTGGGAGAAGTCATTAAGCTAGGGCCTCACATACTTTTTCCTCCCTGCACTGTGAATGTTTACATGTTATGTGCAATTAAACCATGGCAACATCTAATGTTTGTGTAGTATTATGTTCAGCAGACAGTGTTCTTCTATTCTAAATAAAAAGGTATGCGCTAATAACAAACTTATACAAAGGTGTATATCATCATCCAAAAAACATTAGTGTTTTAAATAAATAATTATAGTGTCCAAACATAAATTAGTGTCCAAAAAATATATATATATCTTCAGTGACTTGAATCAATT